TGAGTCCTGGAAGACCCCCCTCAGTTCACATTATTGCCCCCACCTTGGTCCCAGCACACCTCTACCAGGTATTTGGCAATATTGATTGGCTTGGAGCTGGGAGGGAGCAAAAATGTGGGCAGGTGCGGGTCCCCCGGGACAGGGAAGACAAATACTGAGACTCTGTTGTGAAAGGCGCTATATAAAAATACATTGAATTGAGTTGAATGGAGGGATCTCTCTGTCTATGACTGTCACCTTTCTGAGCAGCCGATTCTCATACAGGCCAGGTGGATCAGACACACTTTCAGACGTTCTTCCACTCTGCCTTGCAAATGAGGACATAAAATGTGAAGCTAGTTGATGGTCTGTCTGCAGGCTGATTAGCGCATTTATGATAATGTCACAACTTGAATATGTAGTATAAAATTACTATATAAGCCGTTCTTGAACAAGGTTTTTGAATTTATTTGCATGAAAACAAGAATCATGTGTTGGGTGGATTATATGATTTGTGTGTAAAAAGTCAATTTGAAGGCTGCCATATACGTACTTATATATATATATGGGGGGTTGGCAAGATGGTGCATGTCGTCCACCCCCACACCAGCGATAATGCCTGACTGATGACTGGTCAGTGTCCCTAGAGCACCTCTCCTGTGAGTCTCCGTGGCAACCCACTGCGAGCTGCATCATTAAAACAGAAATAGGCTGTCCACCTTGAATTAGCAGGTGCCTGGTCAAAAAGCCTCTTTTCCTCAAACATGCAGACCCGGGTCAGTGTTTTGTTTTATGGGATGTCCGCGGCCCACTGCATCCAAACCCCTTGCTGCTGTCTCTTAAACATCCTCCCACTACCAAAGCAGCTGCTTCTCCGCCACCAAAAACACCTCCATGCCCCCCCTCTACCAGAGATCTGCAATTTTTCCAGTGAATTCATGGTAATTAAATTCATTCATAGCATAATAAAAATCATTTCCATGCCATGTAATTAAGAGGGCTTTTCTTAAAGGACTAAATGATTAATTTCCTTCAGGAGTGGCCATGGTGGTAATTAAAACAATAGAGTTTCTCTTCTTCTCCCTCTGCATTTGTTAAGGTTTTGCTCCCTAAGAGCTCTGGGGGGGGGGGGGGGGGGGGACAGACCACAGCGCCGGGTAAGGAGGAGGGTGGCTGTGACGACAACAGCCCCGTTACGTAAGGAACTCATTTGCCGGCGATATCCTGTTCATTATTAACAGCATAAGGACATTTACAGAGGGGCCAAACTTATCATAAAGGATTTTTTCATTTTTATTTTTTCTAACAATCCAAAACTGCACTTGATGCTAATTTGCTGCTTTTGAGCAAATACATCCACCTGGTGGAGGGGGGGTGTCAGATGTATGCAGGATTTTTTTCCGGCATGTTCCATCCCTGTCTTCTCCCTGGAAGGCCTCGCGCCGGTTAGTCCATAGGGTTTTGTTTTCTGTGAGGAGGCTGAACCCAGATGGGCGGCAGGTCAGGTCCACTTCCCTGTTTGCTGTTGAAAAACTCAGATATAAGCTTCTGCCTCTTCATGTCCTTTGCCCGCTCAGCTCACACTTTGCGATGCACGCTGAGATTCGGCTGCCCGTGACGTAACATTAATTACGGCTCATTAGTGGATATCAGACCTCAGCACTCGTCGGGTAACCAAGTTTGTTCGCCTCGTCTGAAAATCACATTTCCATTCTATAAAATCAGGCATGAAATTCAGACTTTCATTAATAAGCTTCCATCGAGTTGCATTAATTTATTTGTTGGTAATTTTCTCGTAATTCTTCATCGCCGCTCTCTTAATGACGCTGTAAATGTCACACCCGCTCACCCCGGTTCCTCAGTCAACACAATGGCAGTCATAAGGCCTGCACCTCCCTCTGTCACAATCCGCTCCTGGTTCCTTAGCAACAGGCATGAGAGTCGGGCTCCTCCTGATGTCACTCAGACATGCTGCCAACACCACGCCCTGGGCCCCGCCGCCTAACAAACCCCGAGATTTCTGCCCATTAGTTACAATTAGGAGGACTCGGCCGGGCACCACAGGGTGGTGAGCCGTGACAATGAAGATTGAGTGCGCGTGGCAGTGGGGAGTCTCTGCTGAATTCACGTTCCGCACGATGCCCCGCCCCCCCCCGGGTCACTGCGGCCCAGGCGGGAGCTGCCCAGTCAGTGTCTGAGTTTAACGGAGGCAGCGCATAGAAAGGACGGGTCTACTCGCTTCAGAGACTCAGGACAGCCACATGAGTCCTTCCGCATGTCCCTGAAATGAGGAGAGAAATCAATCGATATATAATAAAGTTATAGAATAAAGCATATTAAACGCAATTGAATTCAAAATAAATCAATACTGGAAATGTATGCACATATATGCAGAACAAGAAAGACATGTCATCATGTGTATGTCGTCTGTATTGTGCCTCTTTCATCTTTCAACTTTGCACAACTTGAATTTACACAAAAAACTACAGTATTCAGCATGTTCCCTGCATTCACTCATCTCCGTTGCATACTTTGAATCTTGTATTTATTCTCTGTCTGCATTATGTCCTAACTGTTTATTGTCATGGTATCTGCAACAGTAGTATTCTGTAAATAAAATTAAAATTTCCATCAGCCTTGGAGTGTCGATACTGACTCTGACTGCGATACAGATTCTGATCAGGAGAGCACATTCCTATGTCTTAAGTGTTAATGATCCAGTCAGGGAGTGGGGTGGTTAGTGGCTTGGTGGGTCAGGACCCTGTGATCAGAAGGTTGCTGGTTCAAATCCCCCATGACCTCATAATCCAGGCTAGAATGCCCAGATGTCCTGGGACATGTGGTGAACTTGTCCTGCCTGCAGGCAGCAAAGCAGTTTGGGATTTTGCTTTCAGCATCGAGTTCTTCAGCAAAGTACTTAACATGACTCTCAGGTTCACACTTAAGTATAGTTGTGTAAGTCACTATGGATAATGGTATTACCACTGCTGAAAAAAGCAGAGCTCTTTGTTTGTCATTAGATATCCACGAGTGACCTGTTTTTAAAGCACACCTTCTGTGTTCTTAACTCTCACCAAAGAGAGATCTCATCTTCAGTGTAAAAGCCTTGTAAATAAATACCCAGATCCCGTGAGCGTTAGCTGGCCAAAGCCGTAGCTGAAAGCGTGAAAATACATAGGAGTGGTGCTTTTCTGGAACAGAGTGAAGTGCTGTTCTATCCATGTCAGCCTCATGTTGCCCCTTTTTGAAATCTCATTCCTGGGCACGTTGGATTCTTGGCATCAGGGGGCGCCTGTAGGGCAGTGGGGCATCAGAACTCGATGGAGCAATGCCTGCCTCACATCTGAAGAACTGAACTCTGCCTGCAGTGCCACCTGCAGCCCAACACATAGGACATTACATTTATTTTATTTAGTAGACTCTTTTATCCAAAGCAATGTACGTTTTTTGAGAAACCAGGGTCACACAGACCCAAGAGTAACTGGGAGGTTATGGGCCTCGCTCAAGGGCCTGATGGCAACGCTGCTGTTTGAACTGCCGACCTTCTGGTGACAAGCACAGTGTCCTAACTCGCTGAATCCCACTCCCCAAAGACCGCAAAATGTACCAATGAGCAGAAAATGTAAAGGAAACGGCGTGGAAAGGCATCATACAGCTTGGTCTGCAATGCCCATGCAGAAATGTTTTTCCCTCTGTCCTTTTTCATAATGCTACATAAAGAAAAAAAACTGCAGTGTGCAGAAGACCCAAAAAAGTTCAGGACCTGACCTTGATGTCCCTGGAATTGTCCCCTTGTCCCTGTTCCCTGGCAAAACGTTCCGGAAACGAGCCACAGCACTTGATGAGACAATTGCGTTGATCCTTCCCACTGCGGTAATTAGCCCTATTAATTCTAGGCATGTAACACATTAACAAACATTTGCTGCGGTTGACTCAGAAGAATCAGCTGTTAATTGTCTTTAAAATACATCTGAAGATAAAGGTCTCTGGACTCTTGCATTTCAACTTTAACACCAAGTTTCTGATTTAAATGGCAGATAAAAAACAAAATCTCACTGATTATAGTTAGTGGATACTGTCCTCAGATCTCATTTAATACACTTTTTACAAAAGTATATGCATTTACTTTTGAATTAAGCTTATCTAATTATTCCCACGGGTATTGAAACTGAAGCGATGTGTGATCGTGGGTCTTTTGAAATTCATTTCAATCAAACTTTTGAGAATAATGAACTATGAGGCTATCTGCTAAGGACCAGCAGCTTCAAATTCAGATTTACACGATTGTTTAAGGCAAAGCGATAATCTTTAGACTATTATTAGTTCCTTCCGGTCACTAAGTGCATGAGCAGGCTGTTTCAGCGGCTTATAAGCCCCAGCTTAATGTGGCCTGTGAGCCTTCAGCTCTGGCTTCTCCCCTGTTATCACATCTACTCCCTGTGTATAGCGTATCTTCATAGCTCGTATCCAGGGCAACGCAGATGGATTATATTTGCAGGGTACGGTAGCTTTTCTTCAGGAGAGCAGAGCTCTTAGTCATCACGGCGTAACGCCGTTCCGGCAACTGTCATTTACCAGGTTGTTTCCTGGACCAGAGTGCGTCACAGCCCAGCAAAACGGCTCTCTATACGCATGTATCCTTTAGAGCGACATGCAAAATCTCGGCCCAGGTGGGGTAGATTAATGAGCACAGGTTTGTCGAGTTCTGCATATGTGGGATGCTTGAATATGTGGCCATTCATCAGCTGAAGAGCGTAATGGATCTCTCTGCTGGACAGCGGTGTTAGGGGAGAGACAAGATTTTTTTGTTCTTTAAGATTATCATAGCTCTTAGTGTAAGATTTATCAGGTTTTGGGGGGGGGGCGGATGTGAGTGCCTGTTCATTTTGAGCCCTTCTTCCTGTGGCAGGGGCCTCGCTGGGGTCCACTTAGACCCCAGCCAATAAGGAGCTGAGGCTGATGTTCTCCTGATCCGGGCATCATCTGATGGGCCTGGCTGTCTCTGTGCCTCTCATTCGCAGGTCCTGCCTCGTTCCCATCCTGCCTGCGGGGGCCTAATTCAGGGGGCTTTCAGGCCATGAAGAACATGCCAGGTCCACTTTAGAGGCGGACAGCAACGGCGGCCCTTCCAGCGTGCCCCACAAGCACTTAGAACTGCAGTGTGCACTCCAGTCTCACCGAATTCATCCCCGCGGCTCCTCTTTCTCTCCGGCGTGCGTAAAGGTGCTGTGGGGGGGGGGGGGTCTTTAAAAAAATGAAGTGCTCTTTTCTGAGGAAACGCGAGCTAAGCTCTTCCAGAGGGCAGGACGCGGTACAGCTTGTCCAGTGTTGTTACGTCGCATGAGCATGATGCTCTCTTTGCAAATCTTTTTCTTTTTCTCATTCCCCCCCCCCCACAATTTGATCTTGTCCTTGAAAGTTTTCATTTATAGTATTGAAGTGTTGAAGACAAAGAGCGTGTTCTGCCCCCCCCCCATCAATTGACCTTATAGTCCTTATAGCCACGATCTCTGAACAAAACGAATGCTGTGGCAAATATCGCCAGTCAAAGATCTTACAAATGTTACATAAACAGGGGCCCCGGTGTTCTCTATATCGATACCACGGAACGCAGAACCGCACCATCTTCTGCATGGCTTCAGAATGCCTGCAAAAAGCAGGCCGTGTTTCTGGACAGTTGGAGGGCTGGGAGCCAGCAGACCCCTTTATCAGATCTTGGTGGGGCAGGTGGAATCAATATCTTCTCTGAGTATTCCTGCAGGCACCACTGGACCCAGGCGCTTTTCTTTCCTGATCCTCGTTCCTATTGATCTCCATTACCGCCCCACGGCCGAGGACGGCCAGGCGAGAATGGCGCTCTTTAGGATCCCGTGACCGCATCCACAATCCGGGATTTCCATGTGACTTTTCTGGAAGCCTGGGACATGCTATTTGAGGAGATTAATTCGCTCAACAGACTCTACAACAGATTAATAAACATTGTGGAATTGTATTTATTTTACTGCTTTAGTAAAAGGGCCAGTGTCAGTTTGGCACTGAGCTGTTACCTGCATGAACTGTAAGGGACGTTCATACTTTACAGCTCTGATTCCAGCCAGATGTATTATAGACTGCATGGTGTTTTTATGTAATATACTTAAAGGCAGAAGTAAAAAACAGTGATGGGGAAAATGTTGGCCAGCTTATATAATGGCAAGCGTTTGTTTTTGGATAGCCAGTGCCTTTAAAACTGTCTTAAATATTTTTGTGGTGCAGAGTTCAGAAGAGGCAGTAAGGGAAGCCTTTCTCACACAGTACAGCTGCTGGATCCCCAGCCAGGGAGTCGTCTGGCCCAGTAGATACAAGCTTTCAGATTATTATTAATAATTAAAATGATTAGATCCTGGTCCGTTTTGTTTCATGGTTAAATAACCACATACGATATAGTACAATAATGACTCAGCTGCTCTCTGAGTCTCTTTGCCTATACAAAGCTGGCCTCTGTTCCTATGAGCAAACACAGCATGTTACGTGAATCAGGCCCCTAGAGACTCTCTGGTTGACGCAAAAGGGGGCCACTCTGATCATCACAATCCAAGTAACCGCTATCGAACTCTCCATGCGATCTTCTTAATTATGCTGAGACACAGTGATGTATCTAGGGCAGTGTTTCCCAACTTGGTCCTTGGGAATCCAAAGTCCACGTTTTTACCAGGAGCTGGGAGGGAGCAAAAATGTGGACAGTCTGGCAGGGAGCTTGGGGGGAGCAAAAACATGGACTGACTGTGGGTCCCCAAGGACCAGATTGGGAAGCACTGATCTAGGATTTAAATCTCTCCATCTGGCAAGCATTTCGCATGACTAAGAGTGAAAGGGTGGGGCAAGGTATTAAGTGCTCAGGTGAAGGGTTAGCTCTGAGGCGGCGGCAGGGAGTGTGTATGTCTCTCAGGCACGATCTCAGCAGTGAGCAAACACGGAGTCCAGTGATCAGGGATGCGATAAGTAGCATCACTTCTGATGGAAGCCAGGCAGACAAAAATGGATAATGTTTGCCTTTGAAGGAAGGAGTTAACCTAAGATAAAAACCCATCGAATTATGAAGACCAGCAGGTGAAATACAGGAAGAAAGTGATATAAAACTAGTCCTTTTAGCCTTAAGTGTTAACGATCCAGTCGGGGAACTGGGGGTGGATAAAAGCTTGGTGGGTCAGGGTACTTTGATCAGAAGGTTCCTGGTTCAAATACCCAGAGGAGAATAGTTCAGGTCCAGAAAGTACAAATCCAGACCGAGATTGTGTTTCGACCAACTAGTTGAGTATAAGGAGTCACAGTCACAGAGTTTTCAACTGGTTGGTTGAAACAAAATCTTGGTCTGCATCTTTCATTTCTGGACCTGAACTACCCACCTCTACAAATTCCAGAGTCGGAAGAGTTGGGCCTTTGAGCAAAGCTATTAACCCCCAGTTGCTCCAGGGACAGTCTGACCCTGCTTTGAAATGTACATTTCCATACTTAGCAGGTGCTTTTGTCCAACGCAACATACAATGGGGCAAATAGCACATTACAAACATTCATGCTGTTAAGGAATCGGCTAGGCAAAAGTGCAGCTAGGCTGAGCTTCTAATGAATTCCCAAGTACTGGTGTAAGCAGTTTCGGAACAGGAACTACACAACACCTACACAAATATGCATATAACTGTTAACGAAGTAAAAACCTAATTATACTATTCATGGGCCAGTAAGTGCATCAAAATATCATTCAAAGAACATAAAGAGGCATCAGGTTAGTAGAGGATGTTGGTTTGGATGAACAGAATTTGCTGAATAGATCAATTGTAAATTGGAATTGCTGTTGCATCATTGGGACACTGGGAAATATCCAGCATTATACAGTAGATCAACAAAGAATCAAATGATAAGCTATGCAAGCTGCAGGAAAATAGTTGTTAATAATGTACCTAGAGCACCAAGAACTGATCAAGCACAGATCAAGAGCGTAAACTAAAGGACATTACGGAGGAATTAATAAGTGCAGATCTAGCTAGGAATATTACCAGCTGTCATGTTTCACATAAGCTGTTCAGTGCAGTACAGTGGTCTGTCAATACAGTGCAGTTACAGCACCGCAATCCAGGAGCAGGAATCCGAGGTGGAAGGGCACTGTGGACGTGTCTGTAGGTCAAGGCATTCAGCTGTCTACATGTCAAGAAGGAAAAAAAAACAATGAAGATCCCCAATTCAATTAGTCGGGAGATCCTGGTGCTCCTCATCTGGAAACAAAATGAGATTGCCTCTCATTCAGTCACAGACAGCATTCTGCTTTAGCAGGCCTGTGGAGCATTATCGCCCTCTAGTGGTGTCATGCTGTCATTTCACCCGTTGTTGTATCTCTTACCACTGCTCTTTCTCTCTCTCTCTCTCTCTCTCTCTCTCTCTCCCCTTCCCCTGGCAGAGTCGCCCATTATAATGACACAGCGGCAGATATATTCAAGAATGACATGCCCTTCAGAGCCATGATGGCAGGGACACTCATGCGGAGTGTGCAAGACGGAGTGGGGAGGGTGAGCGTCCGGAGGGAACAGGAGAGGCGAAGCAGCGGCTGATAATGGGCGACACTATATCACTTTTGTGATCAGTTTTTGAAAGGGGAAAATTAGGGTTTGCCTGGACTAGAAACTGATTCAGCCCCTGAGGACCTCGGGGAGCGGGGGACGGACGAGAAGTTTAGCTGTGGCGATAGGTGGGGTGGATGGGGGGGGGGAATCTAGGCTCACTTAACGTCAAGTGAGTATTCAACTCAAATCTGAAACCTGTGCCTTCAAAATCACAATCTCTATTACCACATGTCCAAGGAAAATGCTGCTGAAGACCCCAGGACTGTAGACAGCTAATAAACACAAGATACACAACAGAGAGGAGTAAATGGCAGGAATGTGATGAGGGCGGAATGTGATACCTATTCAGGGTGATGGGGGTCCAGAGCCTATGAGTGCAAGGCAGGGAACAACCCAGGATGGGGAGCCAACCCATCAGAGGGGATGCGCACACACACACACACGCACACACACACACACGCAGTTGACTAATCACACCTTTTTGGGGACCACTCATTCATTTCTATGGGAAAAATGCTAATGCTAACTATGACACCCTTATCCCCCACCCTCCCCTAACCATAACCTTAAGTAACCAAGCAAAATACAAGAGTTTTTGCATTTTTAGTTTTCTCATCGCAGTCACGGATTTTTATAAAATAAAGTTTTACCATATGGGAACCAGGAAACTGGTCCCCATAAGGTAAAAAAAATGGGTATTCATCACATTGTGGGGACATTTGGTACCCACAAGGTAAGGTATACCTGGACCACATATGTGGGCAATTTGGTAACTCCAATCAGCCTATGCATGTTTTTGGACTGTGGTGGGGCAACTGGAGAAAACCCCATGATGACACAGGGAGAACATGCAAACTCCACACACATAGAGCGATGGCAGAGATTTGAACCCTGATCCCAGAGGTGGAGGCAACAGTGCTAAATACTGCACCACCGTGGACCCACTGCACCACCAAAGCTCTACTGCACCACCATAGCCCCACTGCACCACCAAAGCTCTACTGCACCACCGTGGCCCCACTGCACCACCAAAGCTCTACTGCACCACCGTGGCCCCACTGCACCACCAAAGCTCTACTGCACCACCGTGGCCCTACTGCACTAGGAGAAATACAGCAGTTTGCACATATAAGTGCAGAAAGTTGACACAGGTGTCAGATGACATACATCCATAAATGCCCCCCCACCCAATCTTAATGCGCCTGTTATCCTGGCGTCCCAGCGCTTCGGTGATCTGCGATAATCAGCACAGTGTTAATGCTGGAGGCCAACCTTCAATGACACACCTCCATCCTAACGCCTCTCAGCTGACCTTACCCCAGAGAACGGCCACACCGGCAACTACAGCAGAACCCCCCAGGGCAGATCTTGGGGCGAGGAGAGGGAGACGGCGTGTTTGTGCACGGGGTAGCTGAAGGACAACAAAGTCCCCTGGACAGCCTTCTTGCTGGATCTCCATGACACTGAGGTCTTCTGATACTAAACCTGTTCTTTGACTCAACATTTTCTTTTTTGTTTACTATTCTTTCCGCAGGTATAACGCAAGTTGGCAATACCGGTGTGGACCAGGCACCCAGGCGCCTTCCAGCAGACGGTAAACAGTGGTACAGTCCCAGGGACAGAGGCTGACAGGAGACCAAGTTAGAATCAGCGGCGTGAAGCTCATCACTCCATCTTCCCGGGTCCCCCTGGTCCAGCTGTCTCTGCACACTGTTCACCACACGGTGATTTCTGCCCCCCCCCCCCCCCCCACTGCCGCAACCCCTTT